GTTTCTGAAGACAATGGCTTGTGTGCCCAAGCAGGTTGTAAATAAATTTCAAATGGAATCTGGCCTCACCCTGAAAGAATTCTAACTTCACACTGTTGGGGTAATTTACCAAGATGGCTTCAGAGTAGACTAACTTTACACAGCACATCTGAAAAAAAAAGACACATTTATTCAGCATCATGATCAAACTATTACATTTAGCAATCAATGGTATGGGTGCAAAAAAAAAAAAAAAAGAATAAAGAAAAACTACATTAAAAACCCTTTGTTGGAATGCTTTACACTTTCCACAGAACAGAAACTAAAATAACCTGTTATACAATTAGTCACAAATATAGTCCTCGAGTTTTTTGCCCATTTACGTGAGTATTGTTTAAAACATGTCTTCTTTGTGGCAGCTAGGCCCTGCCACCACCGTGCTTGGCTGAGTTCACAAATCTGTCGTAACCTGTAGCTTCCCTGTCACTTCTCTGGCTCTCCTCTCCTGCTGAGCTTTGTTTCCTGGCAGCAATTAAAACCTTCTGCCACTGCCATAGCTACTGCTGCTGCTGGAACCGCCATAGCCACCTCGATTTGGTGGTTTGGCACAGTATTGGCCTCCACCACCATAGGGGCCAGAGCTTCTGCCTCCAAAGTTTCCTCATTTTGTGGGTCCAAAATGTGAAGATTGAGTGTTGTAATTGCCAAAATCATTGTAGCTTCCGCCACCTCCAAAATTGCTTCCATCATCACCAAATCCACTATAGTCATCTCCACTGCCACCATAACCACCACCACCACCACCACGGCTACCACCAAAGCCACCTCGACCGCTGAAGTTTCCTCCATGACCAAAGTTGTCATTCCCACCAAAACCACCTCCACGACCACCTCCAAAGTTTCCAGAACCACTTCGACCCCTTTGGCTGGATGAAGCACTAGCCATCTCTTGCTTAGATAGGGCTTTTCTTACTTCACAGCTGTGGCCATTTACAGTATGGTATTTCTGAATGACAATCTTGTCTACAGAATCATGGTCATCAAAGGTTACAAAAGTGAAGCCTCTCTTTTTGCCACTGCCTCGATCAGTCATGATTTCAATCACTTCAATTTTCCCATACTGTTCAAAATTCAGTGTTCTTCAGTGTCTTCTTTAGTTCCACCAACAAAAATCTTTTTCACAGTTAAGTGGGCATCCGGTCTTTGAGAATCTTCTCTTGAGACAGCCCTCTTTGGTTCCACAACTCTTCCATCCACCTTGTGTGGTCTTGCATTCATAGCTGCATCCACCTCCTCCACAGTAGTGTATGTGACAAACCCAAAGCCTCTGGAGCGCTTGGTGTTTGGATCTCTCATCACCACACAGTCTGTGAGCGTTCCCTATTGCTCAAAATGGCTCCTCAGGCTCTCATCTGTTGTTTCAAAGCTCAAACCTCTGATAAAGAGCTTCTGTAGCTGTTCCGGCTCTTTGGGGGACTCTGACTTAGACATGACGACCACAGGAGAGGAGAGTTCACCGATGCTTACTCAGAGGCGTCCACTGGCAGAAGGGAGTAATCTCAGAATTCTTCAAAATAGATGTTGCAGCTTTGGCTTAAGACAAGGTCAGGGTCCCTCAACTGACAGAAACATGTTGTCAGCTCTTGTGACCTCAAACAACAACTGAGAAAACACATAGGAAACACACAGACACACCGTCTTGGAAGACTATGGGTAGGTGTGTGGAAGATAAACTGGGAGTAGTAGGGGGTGGGAGGAGACAGCCCTTCAGCTTCTATGTCTGCTAAAGAAAAGTGAAGGCTTCATCATGCACAGTGGTTTTACTGTGAGCATGTAGATTATCTCATTTGTGTACAATTGTACACACACACACATAATAGCAGGAAGGAAAGGTTAGAAGTGAAACTATATACATAATGACTTATAGGAATTTCCAAGGTATATTGCCAAATGAAAAGAAATTAAAGGTGGTATGTAAATAGACTCATTCTATTGATATAGAAACAACTAATTTCCCACATTCTTATATGTTTGGAGCAAGGTGAATATGCCAGAATTTTAGTGATATTAATCTCAGGGGTGTGGTACTGGAAAGAAGGAGGGTCAAAAGAGTGGGGAGAAAGGTGTGTTTGTGTGTATACAGATGGTCCCAAACTTACATTTTTTTAACTTTACAATGGGATGAAAGTGATATGCATTCAGTAGAAACTGTACTTCAACTTTTGAACTTTGATCTTTTCCTGGGCTAGTGGTATGTGGTAAGATACTCTCTCGATGCTGGTCAGTGGCAGTAAGCTGCAGCTCGTGGTCAGCCATGCAATCTCAAGGATAAACAACTGACATCTACTGTGTACTGTGTTGCCAGCATTTTGTAGATACTGTGTTTTGTGTTTCTGCATCCATCATATCTACAAAAATGTTCATCTGTGTCTCCTGCTTCTGGTGAGAAGAAAGGGAAGGCAATTACTCTTGAGTTTCAGCTGTAGGCTACTGTACATGTTCTGAGCATATTTAAGGTAGGCTAAGCTATGGTATAGTGTTTGGTAGGTTAGGTGTATTAAATGCATTTTGACTTGATGTTTTTAAATTATAATGAGTTTCCTGAAATATAATTCCATCATAAGGTGAGGAGCATTGGTAACATCATCATTTTAAAATTATAAACTGTTATTACTTTTTGTAATTGAAACAGAAAAATGATTATCAAAAAACAGGGCAATAATTGTTTTTCTTGAAATAGTAATTTTGAAAAAGAGAAGAGCTAAGAACTAAGAGCTCTTAGAGAAGCGCTAAGAGCTACAATCATCCAAGGGATAGTAGTGATAACAGACAGAACATGAAAATTAGTTGGTCAGAGAGGCACATTAGAACTGCAAAGAGATTCTCTTAGAAAGAAATTCTTAACAGAATAGAAAAATGCAAAGAATTAAAAAGAGGGAAAAAAAAGAACTATAAAAGCCATAGCAGATAAAGGAGAACCAACACATGAATAATTGGCATCCCTAACACACTAAGCCAAAGGCTTTTATGAAAGCTGACCTCAGAACATAAGAGCAGAGGGAAATGAAATATGTTTTCATAAAATAAAGTCTATGTATATAAAGGGCATATTGACTCCTAAAAAATTTGATACAAATGATCAATAATTAGAAATATCCTGGGTATATTCTACTTTAGACATAAAGAGTTCTTTGGGCATTTAGCTTGCTCCTGCACTACCACCACCACCATCACCACTACCCTACAAAAGAAAGTCAACTATTTCCACAGAGATATAAAAAATTACTCTGGTACATGAACAAAAAGGAAAAATATAAATAAATTACTTAAGGTATTTCAAAACCTTTTTCACATCCTCTGTGTGTGTGTGTGTGTGTGTGTGTGTGTGTGTGTGTGTGTGTGTGAACCCAGTCATTAATGTTTGTGTTGTCTCACACAAAGTTGTCTTTATGGTAGAAGACCATTGGTGATGACCACTTCATTAAAGAGAACCCCACCATTGTCCCTGGAACTTTCTTCTGAGACATGTTAAGTCTCAGTACCCATTAAGGAAGCAAGTTTGATGCTGATGTCAGTGGAAGTAACAATGGGTTTTCAGGTCTCAGAGAGGACTTATATTTCTTCCTCAAGTGGTCCTTACATGGTTTTTTGACTGAAGTGTAGCATCATTCTCCAGTCTTACTAAGAATATAACAAAATTTGCACATGAATAAGTTTACAGTGATGCCCTATAACAGGTTGACTCCTTGAAGGGAGACATGGATATTGTGCACCCATGTAGTTTATCATATTGTTTCTTAAAAGTATGTGCTATCTCTCTCTATGATAGGATAATTCACTCATGGCCATTGATGTCAGGTTTATACTGTGATTAGCTTTGGACAACAGACTGTAGTAGAAGTGAAAATTGTTGTTTCCTAGCAGATACCTAGTTTTAAAAGCCATCATGTGGCTTCCACCTTTTTTCCTCCCTTTCTCATAAGACCAACATGCCCCACATAGGGCCTGCTCCTTTAGCCAGGGTCTTGGAAATGAAAACAACATAGAGTATAGCCAAAATTGACCTTAATAAACTTATAATGTGAATTAAAATAAACTTGTAAGCCATCAAGTCTTTTGGCTTGTTACTGCAGACCAATTTAGCTTAAGGTGACTGATATGATTCCCTAAGCACATAGGATCTAAACTTAGTTTTAGAATAGTCTAGGTGCTCTCCTGAAGGACTCTTGATTTCTGCAAGCCTTCTTCAGGGCAGGCAAGGAGTCAACCTGTTATAGGGCATCAGTGTAAGCTTATTCATGTGCAAATTTTGTTATATTCTTAGTAAGACTGGAGAATGATGCTACACTTCAGCCAAAAAACCATGTAAGGACCACTTGAGGAAGAAATATAAGTCCTCTCTGAGATCTGAAAACCCATTGTTACTTCCACTGACATCAGCATCAAACTTGCTTCCTTAATGGGTCTAGGTGCTCTCCTGAAGGACTCTTGATTTCTGCAAGCCTTCTTCAGGGCAGGCAATGACTGGGTGACTCATGATTAGTCCTCCTCCATGTGAGATTCATGTTCAGGCTATTTCAGTTCATCCAGGGTGAATGCAGAGTGATCTAACCTGAGATGTTTTTAAAACAAGCCCCTCTGGACTACTTTGAGACTAGAACTAAGTGGGTGTGGCTGACTCATTGCACAGTTTTTGTGAGCTGTAATTTATACCTGTATTCTGGTTAAATGTCCTGAAATTCTAACATTATTAAACAATTTTGGGACTAGAGTCAACATCTTACTTCAGGATGCCACAGTTGTTCTCAATGGAGAAGGGGCTGGGGAGGGGAGGGAAGGGAAGATTATATAGGTCTGAAGGAAGATGCTCTAGGTCTGAAGGGTTCACTCCTGTTTTTCTTCTTTCCAACTGAAACTGATTCCATGATGGAAGTATCAGTCTGTAAAAATAGCTTTTATTTTTCTCTCCAAAGTAGAAAATTCAGCACCTGTACTTAGAGTTCAGGTGGAAAAGTAACAACTCAAAATACATTAGGGATCCAACTGCAGTTTAGTGTTGATGGACTCAACAATTGGCAGCAGTTCTTCAGAGAATACAGGCTGTGGTTTCCTCCCGGGGTGACCTTGCCAGGACCATTGGCAACAGTGCTAGTGGAAAGTAGAATGAAACAGTTAGTTGAGCCTTAGAAGACAGAAACAGTAGATATGCAGAAGATGAGGACAGAGGCTCCAGAGAATTAATTTTGAGTCTTAAATCTTAGTTGGCCTCAAAGACTTCCCCTATTTCCTTCAGAATAAACAAAGAAAGCATCAAATCAATCCTTATAGAACACTTGTATATTAAGAAGGGCAGATACATGGGCACATTGATTTTGTAAATAAAACTGTAAATGGTGGATGTGGTTGGCATGGGTCACTGGTGTCCCCTCATCCACTGTGCCCAGCACCATGTTGTCAGGACACCTTGCCTTGCTTGATCTTCAAAGAGGGCCAGTACCTCGAAATTAATACTGGAGTACTAGTTAAGGGCATGGGTTCTGTAGCTGAAAGACCAATTTTTCTTGGGTCTTCCTGCCTTGATTGTGCATGCACTGATTTCGCTCAGGTAAGTGACATTGCCTCTCCAAGCCCTGACTTTATCCCATGTCTAATCAACCCAGAGTGCCTAACTTAAACAGTGGTTTCAAAGTTCAAGTGAGCTAGTTCAAGTGAGCAAGTGACCTAATACACAGCTAGGGGTGTATAAAATGCTTGAGCAGCACTGGCTAGCATTATGGTTCCTAGTCTTAGCTAAGAAAAGTCAAAGTGAAAGGGGAACAGAATTGCCACAGTTATGAAGTTATTAAAACAAGTGGAGGGGGTCTTTAATGAGTATAAAAAAGTTATAATCGAGAATACAGTACCTGTTCAGTAGACTCTGGCAACAAGATACGACATCAGTTGTGTTTCTAGGTAAACTGGAGTTGTTGAAGACCTTCTCTAAAATGTGATGGCAGTTGACATCCACAGGAGTCCCAGAGAGAATGCCTGGAAGTGGAGCAGATTGCCATTCAGTATATTAATTATCAAAGTCCCTGAACTCTCCTCTGTTCTTAGCTTCCCCAGCATATCCCACACATCTCACTTTACAACATGCTTGAAGGCAGCCCTGCCTCCCAGCTTTCTGTAGCAGCAGATGCTGGGTATGCAGGTGGGAGGCACTGCCCCCCTGAAAGCGGCCATCTTGTGGGCACAGGGAGACAGGACACAAAGGACAGGATGCGTTACCTGCGATGCAGGCTGTCATGAAGCAGGCTATTGTCCCTGAAATCAGAGCTCTCATTGCCCCTGAGGCGATGTCATGCTTTCTGGAAGGAGCCATGGTTGCTGGGAAACATGGAAGCAAGCATGAGAGATTAACGTGGAGGCTATTGATTAGAATTCCAAACTCCCAGCCTCTGAGAATTGTTCTGGGGCTGGGTTGTCAGGTCAATTAACTTAAAAAAAAATCTCAGTGGGGAAATTCAAGATTCAAGAGCTTAGTGATGAGCTCCACATCTGGAGAAGCTCTCTGGTGCTTAAGGAAGGGAAGAAGTTTGTCTAGGGAAACAAGTCCTAAGTTTTACCCAGAAGGCTCCTGGTACGTTGGGGGCATGGCAAGACAAATGTGTTGCAAGGATGGATTCCAAATATTTGCAAACCATTCATCACCATCTACTATGCCCATGGCAGACATCACGATTTAATCACAGCCTTTTCCTACTGAGTTTCCCCTGGACCTCAGAATCCTTCTCCAGGGGGCCATTATAAATCTCCTGGAACTGTCATGCAAAATGAAACATAGGTGTCTTCCCTGGGTGGAGAAGCACCTGTCCATTGGGGCAAAAACTTGCTCAGGTTAGCTCGAGTATACCTAGGAAAACTATTGGCCAAAAAGTTCATTTGTTTTTTTTCCTGTGAGATGGCTCTAGTAGTGCTAAGTCGTCTTTAACTTCATTTGAAATAATTTTGTTAGACTGTATTGTGACAGCTGTCATATCAGCATGCATTTAAAAAAAATCAAAATTGGTAAATTTTGGTGTAGCCATTTTAACATTGAAGATGGAAGAAAATAACCAATATTTTTGGCATATTATGTTTTATTAGTTCAAGAAAGGTAAAAAAGCAACTGAAATGCAAAAAAGATCTGTTCAGTGCATGGAGAAGGTGCTGTGACTGATTGAACGTGTCAAAAGTGGTTTGTGAAGTTTTGTGCTGGAGATTTCTTGCTGGATGGTGCTCCACATTTGGGTAGAACAGTTGAAGTTGATAGCAATCAAATCAAGACATTAATTCAGACAATCAAGGTTATGCCACATGGAGAGAGCCAACATACTAAAAATATTCAAATCAATAAAGTTATCGGTGCAAATGAAAAATGTGTATTTTATTTTAAGGAAAAAACTAAACAGACTTTTTGGTCAACCTAATACACTGCGGAATGGGGGTAGAAAGTAGACCCCAAAGCATTTATTGCTGTTGCAAGGCCTTTTTTCCCGCTGACATGAATAATGTTACAAAGCAAAATGGAGATACGAAGCATGTTTACAGCATATCTGTTGTCAAAGAATAGTCTTTCCACTTACTGAGAGCGCTGACCACTATTCCTAGGGAACTGATATTGGCAAAGCCACAGAGAGCATAAGTGGCAATTGTCTCTGAACGAATCTGTAAATAAGCATAAACACACAAATGTATATACATGGTGTGACCCAGCTTATAAATCTGATATCCTAAACAGGCTTCTTATTGTTACTATAGAAACAGTATTGACAAGTAAATGTACACTTCATGGTGTCCAACACTTGTTGCTTTCTGGCTCTGTTTCCTATGTCCCCTTGAATTTCAAGGGAAAGAAAGGGGCTGTGTGGATTCAGAGACTCTCTACAAAGGACTTAGGGTTGGTTATCTTGGCCTCTACAAATTGCTCCTTTCTGTTCAATGGCAACTTCTAACGTTCAAGATGATCTGGACACCTGTTACAATGTGCCAGGCACAGTACTAGCTGTTGAAGATACAAATTGGTCCCAGAAAATATTATATTACATTTATTTGACAAAGGAGTTATTCAGGAGGTATAAAGAATGGTAATAACTCAATAGCAAGAAGACAAGCACCCAATAAAACCAGATAAAGAGATTTCACAAAAGATATGTAAATGGCTAATGAGCACACGGGAGGATGTTTGATATGATTACTCACCAGGATATGCAAATAAAAACACTGAGATACCACTACACATCCATTAAAATGGCTAAAAAAGACGGACATTAGCAAGTGTTGGTGAGGATCTGGAGCAATTGGAACTCTTGTACACTGTTGGTAGGAACGCAAGCTGACACAGCCTGTTTGTAAAATACAAACATACTTGGCAGTTTCTTATCAAGTTAACATACACTGCCTGTGTGACCCAGCAATCCCACTCCTAGGAATTTTCCCAGGATACATAAATACATATATCCACAAGAAATCTCTATATGAATATGTGTAGTAGCTTTATTCACAGCAGCCCCAAACTAGAAACAACCCAAATGTCCTTCAACAATCAAATAGACAAATTGTGGATATCCATAAAGTAGAATACTTTCTGCAATAAAAACGAAAATAACTAATATATGCAACAACATGAACACTAAGTGAATCCATTCATGTGAAATTCTAGAATAAACAGAAGTAATCTACAGTGAAAGGCACATCATTGGCTTCCTGGGGCTGGGGAGGAGGGTTGTTGCCTACAATGGGATGTGAAAAAAATTTCCTAGGTGTGAAGGAAATGTTCTGTATCTTGATTGCAGTCATGGTTACGCAGATGACACATCTGTCAAAATTCATGTACACCAAAAACAGCCTTTTTTTTTTTTTGGTATGTAAACTATATTTCAGTAAAAAGAATATAGGTTAAAATGAATTATACTAGTAAAAAAGTAGCTCACAGTTATCACATGAATTCCTTTCAGCATGACTGTGGTGTGTGCTTACCTTTCTTCCTCAGCTCTGACCATCCCATGGGAATATTAGGTACCTGCACATCAGAAGTCTTCACAGGGCAGTGAGGTGATGGAAGGCGAATGCATAGAACCACGAACATGGCCCTCTGCCTCTATTCTCAAGGTCAAGAGGTGATACTCAGGCCCAGTAATTCTTTCTCAGGCTGAGGGACTGACTATAGGAGGCTCAGGAGATTCAGTGGCCTTTGCTGTTCACCAGAGGCACACCCAATCCGGTAAAGGCACCCCCACAATTGAGGCAATAGTATTCATTTCCAAAATCCTGCAAAATCTATGATTTGGTTCAAAGAATAAACCAGGCCAATACTACATTCAAAGTAGGGGGGCCTTTTTTCCCCCTTTTCACTAACTGTATTTTTTTAAAGCTCACATTTAAGATGCAAGTGGTCATGGTAAGTTTTTGTTGATTATAAGGCCCCTCTTCTTTTTCATGGTTTCTCAGAACTCCTTTGTTGATTTTCAATCAGTGTGCATATAGCAAACAGGAAAAAAATATTTCAAGTATTTGAGCAGTCCGGTGTTTCTGGAAAAGCTCATTCTCATCCCCTGCTTTCTCTAGTGCTTTTCATTTAGTGCAATCGGCTTCAAAAACAGGCAAGCCTATTAAGAGACTGTGGGGAGGGAGATGACATAAAGCACTTGAGATTCCTCTTTCCTCTTTCTGGGGAATTATGGAGACGGGATACACAGATGTGGCCATGGAGGTTTTTATAATAAGAGGAAAAGGAGGGTGGGATGATTGCACTTTGCCTTTTCCCATCAATGTGCGAGATTACATGATGGAACGAGCTGCACCCTACTGGGAAATTGATAATAGACTCCATGGCTCTTGCACATGAGCAAAATGCCATATGAACAAGGACAGTTACTGTAGCACTACCTCTGACAGCAAAAATTTCATAATAATGTTCATCAGCAAGGAACTGGTTAAAATGAATTATGGTGTGCTTGTACAATAGACTACTACGCCACAGAGGTTGCTATAGAAAGGCATCTGAAATACGTCATTAAGTGCAATAAGCAAGGTTAAGAATAGACTAATAAGCTACAGGGAGAGGGGATTGGGGCAGGGAGGATGACTTACTGTTCCCTCTACACCTTTTTGTACCTTTTGAGTTCTGTATCATGGTATGTACTACATGTAAACAAACATGCAAGGTATTATGATTAAGGAAGAGAACATGATGGAGCAATCAGGAGCTCATTCTGGGCATATGGGTGATACATTCATGTTCTGACCCCTTAATCAGAGGTTAGCAGTAGGTATAATTCAATGGATTACATTGGGTTTTAGCCTCATGCACCCAGATTTTACACTCCAGTTACATGGTACCTTTCCTAGGAGACTGCTTGGACACTCTCACCACTTCTTGGTTGGTAAACAAGAAGTTGCAGGGACTCATTCCCATTTTGTTGATTGGAAATAAGAATGGGTACATCAAAAACGCTTTTCCCATTACGGCACAACACTTATGGAAGACATTGCTCATATTTCCAAATGTCCTCTGCACCTGCCTGTGGTTGGGCTCATCCCCAATCCAAATCAGCTCTACTGTTCTTTTCTCTATCCTCTTAATAACCTTTTTCACAAACCTGCTTAGCATTGCCAGAACTGTGAGCTTACTTTGTCCATTAACAAAACCACTTTCTCCTGGCAGCCAACACTTGGGGATGAAAAACATTTCACTTAATCTAGCCTATTGTTTATTTTTGGCAAGGAAGCTAGCTGGTTAGTGGTGGCATCTAAGCAATGAGGATATTGGGCCAAGCTCTACTGTGCTGTGAGTTGAAGAATGGACCTTTGAGAAACGGGAGACCTATAGAACCACTGCTCATATCAGCCTCTGACCATAAAACACAACTTAGCACTCTCCTGGAGTATGCTCTTATATGTGTGTAATATGTGGCAGTAAGTTTGCATGTTTGGCCTTTGGGAGGCTGGGAGAAGTAGTGGCCTTCAAAGGTGGGCAGTCTTGTCTCCATTAGGACCTTGAGCAGCATGCTTTTTCTCCCCTTTCCTTTTAAAGCCAAATACATGCCTAGGACATTGGTTCCAAATGGATTGTTTCAATGAGTAATGCTCAGAAATGTTCACCACTTCCCTAACAGTTTTCATGTATAGCAATTCTATTCTTCAGAGAAGTAAAAGTCAGAGACTTAACTGTAAATACAGACTAGTGCCCTCCCCTGAGTTCTCTTGTCCCATCTCGGCACAAGCATCTCCTTGCAGCCTAGTGACCTGAATGAAGTCCTGACATAGGGGTGGGATGCCTGTCTCAGAGGCCAGACCACAGGCCCTGATCTCCTCTTCTCTCACCCACTGGGAGAGTTGAGTGGCAACCGTGTCTCACCATTCCTTTAGGATGTCCAGGCACTGTGTTTCATTTAAGCAGTTTCTCAGAGTTCATAGAATTGCTTAAGCTGGAAGAGGCCTTCATGATCATTAGACTATTGAGACCGCTGAAGGCTTAGGCCTCATCCTTTGTTCAGTGCTGCGGTCTCAGTACCTAAGGATGCTGTACACATAAAGTATACGATAAATAATTGTTGATTGATTGATTCCAGTCCTAGCTCATATGACTCTGGGTTTGGATCCATAGTGCTCAAAAGTAATCCTTACCACAGTGGTAAGGACTAGTTGTGTTTCTCTTTATGCATGCACACGTATACACACACACACACACACACATATATACACACTGATTAATTCAATATAACTGAAAATTATGAGGTGCTAATACACTATAGCTCCATGAGACCAGGGATTTTGGTCTAGTTTGTTCTCTGGTGTATCCCAAATGCCTGCCCTGCTGCCTGACACACAGAGGCACCAATAACTATCTGATAAATGTATGTACGTGATGAAAATGTGTACTGACAATGCAAATATTTACTCACCGACATATATTGCTGCACACCATTCACAAATTTGGGTCCAGCCTCTTTCCTTAAGTTGATCAATTTTGCGAGATGCTCATAAGCCACAAATTCATTGAAGAATGTTTTATAACCTAAGAGTTTGGCAACAATAAAGCTGTCCTGCCAGTCCACTCCCATCATGAAGGAGAGAGGCATGAAGATGTAGGAGCATATTAGCTACAAAAGACCAAAAATAGACACTTTATTAGAGTAGGGATTAGCATCTGCCTCACCCTTGTGACAAGATTCTCCCTGCCCCTTCTGTGTTTCCTGGAGGCACAGAAATCCCTTCACACACCCTTGTCAAATGGAGTCAAGGTGGGAATTAGTCATTTGAAGTAACCTGGACTCTTGGGTGCGGTCAGGAGAGAAGGACTGAATGTTGGGAGGAGGAGGGTAATAAGAGACAGTGAAGGGGGTGGGGAGGTGGGGGCTACATGATAAGTGTGCACACTGGGTAAGAGTGCACTATAGGTAGTTAGGAAGCCTGTTCACAAACCTATTTTATTTATAAACAAAGATAGGCAGAAATAAAATGGAAGAGAAACATGGTAGCGTTATACCTCGAAACTTAGTTGTGGATAGTCCAGCATGTTTCCAAACCAGGACAGGGCTGAGTTCACAAAAGACAACAGGGCTATGAAGGCAATCAGATTCACAGCGATGTTTGCCACCAGGGAGATGGATGAGGAGGCTCCCTGCGTTGCGGCTTCTAGGAGATTCCTTGAATCACTTTATCAAAAAATAGCAACCCCAGAATTACCAAGGAGTTGTCAGCGGATGGATATCACATGTATGGAAATGGCCAATTCAGAGCTCATTTGGATGGAGAGATCGATTCTGAGGTCCTTGCCTGAGTCAAAATCCTCAGCTGAATTCTATAAAATCATGAATGGCATTTGTAATTGTTGAGTGTAGGTGATGAGCGTCTGTTACATGCGTATTATTCTTTTAATGTGGGGTCGTTTATAATTGAAAAATTAGGGAAAGAAAAGCGTAATATATTGTATTTAATTAAACATAGCTATCAGAGAATATTTATGAAATATCCATGGTATAAGAAGAATTAACAATTCAAGAAAGTTCTGGATATTCACAACCTCATTTAAGAAACGGAAGGTCACCACGCCCTTTAAGTAGCACCTCGTGCTCTTTCTCAGCCTCATCCTTTCCCCTGGAATCTCAGAAGTGCCTGGCTCTCTTAAAATTTGCTTATCATTCCCTTTATTTTCAATTTCCCTACGTGTTTGTATCCCTAAATAATACGTTGCGTAGGTTTGCACATTTGCTAACTTTGTAAGTGGAATCACCCATAATTTGTATATACATTTGATAACTTGCTTTTCACTCATGGTTAGGACTTCACCTACATGAAAAAGGAGTGAATCTCAAAAATGTATTGGTTGATTAATTCTGTGATTTCATGAACACTTTGAACATCCTAAATCCCTTAGTCTTTCCATCCTTTTTCCTTTTGCATAGCCAAAGAAAATGAACCAATGAGGGGCTAAGGATAGTTATACCACACCGTCTCATCCCTATTATGTAAGAAACTTCTAGAAATGGTTATCCTACGGCTTTCCAATGGCCGTAAACCAAAGCTCAATGAACACTATACTATATTTAAGGTGAAATACCTACATCGACCAGTTGGGGAAATGTATTGACATATAGGAATTTAGAAAGTTTTTCCTCCAGTGTTGAAACAAGATATTGGGAGGTGAAGTCTAAATAGTCACCAGGAAGTTAAATTCAGTTTACTGCCATAATTCACTGAGCCGATTGTCAGATTTTTGCTGTACTCCCGCCTCTGACTTGTGTCGCCATTAACTAGGTGAACATGTTTCACTTACCCATTTTCCATTTTCATGGCATTCTTGAGGGTTACTTTTGGTGTTTCTGTCTCAGGCCAAAAGAGTTTGGCAACAGCCAGTGATGCAGGTGCAGACATAACCGAAGCCGTTAACAAGTGGGTGGGTGAAACCTGTGATTTCAGGAGAGAAATGGCCAATTGAGGCATAGTTTTTCTGTTGTGTTCAGAATGAATGACCCAAAACCCAAAAGTCTAACAAGGGAAAAGGTGGGCAAGAATCGCTTTTATGCCAGAAAACAATGTCTCTTCACAGGCTTGGAAGAGCTCACTTAGCCAAGTCAATATCTCCTTCAAAAGTCAGAGGGGGAAGGGAAGAATTTGGGTTAATTAATCCCATCCTCAGGGAGAAGCACAAAACTAGTCAGATCATTTCGGAAGAGCATTCATCCTGTGCGGTCAGAACTTTCAAAGAAGACTCCTCCACCTCTTTGTTGTCCTTTTGAATGTTCAAATAGTCCCTAACGTCCATATTTAATTATGTCATCAATTTAGATAGGGGGTTTCTGGGTATGCAGGCATGGACACACCCCTCTCCATCTTTCTTCTGCTCTCCTAAAATCCTTTGTGTCTTTACATAATATTCATTTATGCAGAGTGCCTTTAGTCTGTAAGCTATTTCTGTTTTCCTCACTGCTGGTCTTAAACTCTTTCCTTTTTCCTCCCCATACCCTTATTTCTAGATTCTCATCTCCTATAGTTTCAAAATTCTAGATTCAGCACCTCTCTCCCCACTCCCATCTGGGGATCTGGTCAAACTGCTCTTCCTTAAGTCTCCTTGCCCCTTCTTCTTCTTCCTTGTTTTTACTGAGTGGCTTCCTGGGGCCCAGATGAAGTCCTGGAATGAAACATACCTATCTTGTAAGAATTCCAAATTACTGCTCCACTGTATTATTCCATTTCTCCACTGGGGATTGCATGTGTGTGCAGCTTGTAAGCTCTGTGCTTGGGGCACATGCACCAGTATCAGAACAATCTCCAGTCCTATACCACAGGCCGCCAGCTCTCAAACTGAGCTGTACATGGGAATCTGGGGAGTTAAAAAAAAATTTATGCCCTGGTCTCCTCACATGAGACTGGTTTAATTACTCTGGGTTATGGGTTTGGGCATGAGGGCTTCTAAAAGCTCCCAGGTGATTCCAATATGCAGTAAGGTTTGGCCACAACAGCATTTTCTGTAAAGGGTAAAGGAGTAAATATTTTTGGCTGTAGAGGGCGCAACTCTTCAACTCTGTAGCATGAAAGCTGCCATGGAGAAACAAATGGGAGTAGCCCATTTCCAATAAAACTTCAATTACGAAAGAAGGGAGAGATCTAGATTTGGCCTCTGGGCCCTTGTTTGCTGACCCCTGGTCTAGATCGCCTTTCCTAATGTTAGTAACAGTTTTATTTATTTATTTTTATCAAATTTAAATTTTCAGCTAACATAACCTCATAATATAATTTCATTCTGTTATGGTTGGAAATAACTCACATTTATGTGGCAAAGATATGAAAGTGAAGCCTCTAAAAGGTCACTCCATTCAAATGCCAAAGAAACTGTGATCAATTTTACAGCAAAAAGAACACTCTTTCGACCTCCTTATTCAGCAGCAGTGGGAAGGAGAAAAAGGGAAATAATACTAGAAAAGGAAGGAGAAGTCATATTTTCCATAAATTATTCCCCAAATATTCTTACCCCAAAAGAAATGTATGCGCCTAAGACACTTCCGGCAATGGTAGCGAACCCAGCCGTCATAATTGCGTGGAGTTCGGACTTGGTGATGTATGGTAAGTATGGCCGGACCAGCAGCGGAGACTCCGACTGGAAATGAAGAGTGACCAGATTAAACGTTCTTTTTTAAATTTTGGGAATCTATGACAATTTACTGAACTTTTCATTCTTTAAATGCAGTATTTCTAAGAGTGGACCTCAGACCAGCTCTATTCGCACTACCTGGGTACTCCATAGACATGCAAATCCCCAGCGTCCTGAATCAGAAATTCTGGGGGTGGGTCCAGGAACCTGTTTTAACAAGCGCTGCAGATGGCAGTGATGTACGCTCAAGTTTGAGGGCCCCCACCATAGATGTCTGGGTCATTTGAACTCTAGGTCAGTGTGCTTATGGTATAGAGTCATGTATTAGGTTTGCAAAGTTTGTAAGGCCAATGTACATAAAGCCCCCACCTAGTCTAGGATTGGATTCGGATGGCTGCCTACACTTTTCTAAGGTGGGAACATCACTGACCAAGTAACTCCACCCAGTGGCCAGGCCTTGTGAATTGTGATTCCCAAGCCTCTGTGATTTCCTATCTTCCAGCTTCATTCAACAGACCCTAAATCAATTCGCTGACATGCCAGGGAAATAGAGACACAAGGATAAAAAAATAGCAGCGATAACAAGGACAGGGGCCCACGGGCCCTTTTCTTATGGAGAATCAGAGACCCCCTCTTTCCCTTGGGTGGAAAGGAATTGGAGAGGGTGCAGTTGTAAAGGCTTGAGTCCCATTAAGAAGGGCTGGCCGCCTGCAGCATGGGGCTCTCCATAAATAATAGCTGTACTTTTAGCATGTTAAGTATCAAATTGACCACCACAGAAGCATGTGCGCAATTTCACAATTCCCCCTCATTATTTCTAATTGTTCTATAAGATTGAATGTGTTGAGCTTCAATTTATGGACTAAATTGAAACTCAGTACATGAGTTCTCTTACCCGGCAGGTAGGAGTCATCAACTCAAGATGGTGCCCTAATTAGTTCTGAGAGATTTTATGACTATAATTATAATAATTTCAACTCCTAGGGAAGGATTATGGGCCCCTCACTAAAGACTATGCTCCAGGCTAGCAAGCTGAGCTTACCAATAAGAAGGCTGTAAGCCCAGGATTTGCGGCACTGTGCATTTCTGGCTGACTTGAATTTTGCTTCAAATCCAATTTCCTTGGGCAGCCTTGACAGCAAGCCTTCCTACTTGGTTTCTGTGGTGTGTGATGCCATTCAGCCTGAAGTTACATATCCTGAGTGATGAGGATGATTATTATCATTTCTTACTTATTCACCCCTCAGGAATGCTGCTGTTTTGAGAGATAACCCTTGGCATCTTCTTTTTTTTCTTAAATGGAATTTAGGCAAAAGAACATTTATCTCTGTGATGGATGAGGGAGATAAAAATGCTTGCGTTCATTCTCATTTTTCTTCAGGCTCAGCAAAGATAGACTGTTGGCCAGTTCAGAAAGGTGAGAATGAGCGCAAGTATATACAGATGCATGGCTGTTGGTTGAAAGCCTCTCTTGAACTCTATCATTACCATGAGCATTGTACTACAGAGCGTGAAGCTGCCTGTGCATGTTTGCCAGTTCAAGATAAATAGTGAACTTCATTTAAGGACACAAGCTGCTAGCCTCTGAAGGGTAAGCCGGAGACCTCAACAGTTCAATAAATTCAGAAAAGGTTTATTGATAATCTATACATAAGAAACCCAATGCTTTGATAAAATGATTCAATCTTTCTCCCTGTCCATAACTTTCAAGAACTTGAACCCCACATTAGTGCACTGAGACTCGTGGAAGCGATCTCAGTCTCCCTCTCTTGCTCTCACTAATTTTTCTCTTTCTCTGGAGTCCTGGACATTGTCAATACTGAACATTCCTTATGCTGACACTCTTACGCTAGGAGAAATACACAGTCATTTTTAAATTCCATTTTCTGGGAAGAGTATCCATTTGAGTCAGTGATTTTTTTTTTTTTAATATTATAACGTACCTGTCCGACGAATATGTTGCCAGCAGCAACTACAGATTCAATAGGAGAGGATCCCATAGTAACTAGCATTGTCCATCCAACCTAAACAGGAAAAGTCATTGAAGAACTCTTTGTGTATACACAAAACTTCCAAGTAGGGATACAAAGCTTTAAACTGGAGGAGAACGCTGTGACCTTCAACAATTTTTGACAGACAGTGATGGCGCTACACGTGCGTACACCATATCGAGTCCATAGCCCAGGCTGATCAGATCCTCCTATTTGAGCCATATGTCTGAGTCATTGTATATACTTTGAACATTAAACAAATGAATTTCTGTTGAAATATTGTAAACAGTCATACAGGCTTTATTGCATTCCAAACACTGAGTTAAGCCCTTTATCTGAGTAATGCATTTAATCCTTATAATAACCCTTTGAAGGGGGTCTTATAATTATGCCCCTTTTATAGAAGAGGAAACTGAGGCACAGAACAGTTCAGTTGTTTTGTCAAAGATCATGCAGCTATTTAATGCCATGTTATTGAAGTTTGGCCTTTTCTACTTGAGTGAACATAGTTTACGGTCCCACTTTTTTACTGGTCCTTCCCACCAGAACCTCTGGGGCCCATCTCAGGATGAGGACTTTCAATTGCATTTTCTTTCCTTTCTGCTTAGATCTGAGCACAGTAATTCCGAATGTTTAAATCGACGACCATATAATTAATGGGCCCGGCACTCTTGCTGAAATTATGAATTCTGCTGGTTCTTCCCGTTTTCATCCATTTTATTTACCTACAGGAATCACAGGACGAATGTGACTGTGCCCAGGCCTTGTTTGTACTGCCTCGTTCTCATGTGCACTCAAACTATGTTACAAGTTTCCTAGTTCTTTGATCTAACATATGGAGTATAAGACTGACAGTTGCTGGGGCAGCAGGAATGAGGTTAACTTTTCAGACTTAAAAAAGATTTTTGTGTGCTTCTAAAACTCCCCCAGGAGGGAAAAAAAAAAAAACCCCAGTGTTCCCTTTCCCCCTTTTTGCTTTGATTCTCTAGCAACTTCCTAGACCAGGAGTGCCCACTTTTGTGACCTCCCCTCACCGAGTCACTCTCTAAGGTGGACAGTTTCCCCCAGCAGCTGTCTGACCTGCTGGAGTCAAGTCTTGGACTAAAGGAAGTACTTGCTAATAGAAGTCCCTGGGGTAAAATTCCCTCTATGGAAGCCTGTGGGATTTTGGGCATTTCCATCTATTAACTCGGGTGGTGGTGGTGGATCTTGGTACAAAGAGAAAAGTACTTGGAAAAACCTGGATAACAGGCGTGTAAGGCTTGGTCCCTGAAATAATGCAGCTCTACATCTGTCACGCCATCCCTTGCAGCCCCGGTACCTTTCTAATGATCCACTGCATCAGTCCGAGGTAGTAGAGCATGGACATGACTGTGCTGAAGAAAACCACGATGGGCAGGATCTGGGTGGGGGGACGAAAGGGAGCGCAGGTTAACGTGGGCCCCAGCAGCATGAGAAAATCTCAGACCAGTCTCCTGTCTGCCCTCCTTTCTGCTCCCATACCCCTCTGAGACATCGTATCAGTACTAGAAACTCCTCTTGAAGTATGCAACACTTCTATTAGGCAGCTTCCCCACTGACTGTTTCTTAGTCTAATTTGTTCTGGGTAAGCTTGAGTGTATTTCATAGGAAACTTGACATATTTTTCTCTGCTATGATGAGCTCATCTTACGTGAGTTCTCAGAGAAGGAATGAAGGTTTAGGGGCATTCGTAATAACTAGATCAACAAAGAAAAGGGTACTGGCAGATATTCTTGTTGTTCTGATATGAAACAGTCATGGGTGCCATGGCTCTTTAGTGGGCAACCTGGGTGAGCAACCTATGATTCTCACTCAGAGTGGCTGCCGGGATCAGACACAGCGTGATGAGTTCTTACATACCTCGCCTCCTAGGGAGTAAGCGCTCGTTCATTTAGTTTTTAAGGTGATGATGATTTTACTTACAGATTTTTGAACCACTGAAATGATTAAACTGGGTAAACTTGTTACCTTCTGTGATAACAAAATGTTGTCTTTTTCTAGTTCTTATTTTCCCAATGCTCTTTGGGTGCCTTCGATGCAGCCCGTGTGTCTACAGGGAGCAGCTTCTGCCCTGCAGAGCTTGCACGGCTGTGGTCTGCGTCCCTCCGCGCCCCTCCCCCACCGCACCCCTCCAAACCCTCTGCTCCCCAGCTAAGTGGCCAGAGATAAGCTGCCACCAGAGGCACAAAGTGACCGAAGACAATTTGTACGAGATCTAATTTAGAAAAATCTATTAATAATATATATTAAAAGACATCCTGTGCCATTATTGAGAGCTCACTCATGTGCTTTTATTGTCTCTAATGGGCAGGCAGAGCCTTCCTGAAAGCTTCAGGGAGCTGGAGGGGCTCATCCCGCCGCTGTTCCCACAGGGATTATGCTTTGGCAGAAAGGATGGAGGCCACTGCCCCTGGGGGGACACATTCTGAAGGCACTCAGACAGACTGGGCAGCGAGTGACTTCTTCATTGTGACTTTATGTTTTCAGGTTCTGAATTAAACTCACGATATGAACATATTTCAATCTCAATTTATATACACTTGACCTTTCAGAGCTGGCTCAGTTACCTCAGCACCAAAGCATGAACTCAAAAGTTTAAAAAATTGGCCGTTTAAAAAAAGATTCACCATGAACAGTTGGCCTAACTGATTTTCCAACTGAGTACGTTGGAGGTAAATTTGGAGTTCTTAAGTGAGCAAACAATTTAAAAGTATAGGAACAATAACATACTACAAAAAAAAAAAAAAAAAAAAGCTGAATAAAAAGCCACCTGTATCTTTCTGACTCAGCAACAGGTATTTATAGGGATTTCCCAAGAGGAAGGTGAGCTCCCTGGGGCTTGTGGAGCCTTGGGAGTGAGCCTATTAGGCCTGGGCATGGGGCCAGGTTGCCTTTCTTCTGCAGAGAAACATCTCTCTTTTGGTTGGGAGAAGGCCTAGCCTCCAAGCTGGCCTACGCAAAGGCTGTGCTCAAGGAAAGATGTGGCAGATTTAGCACGGGGATGGCTCCGGAAGAACAGAGGTGATGTGGGTGAACAGCTGTCCTTGTGTGCCTGAGGCTGAGCGGTTTCCCAAGCACAGAGCTATAACCAATCCTGGCCCTATTCACTGCCAGGTACGCATTGCTCTTTTCCCTGAAATCTCCCATACTATTACCCCATGTGATTGTCATAAGTATCTCATGCAATGCTACCAGGCCCCCGCCTAAAGATTTTTTTTTTTTTAATATTTCCGACTTCCTCTGGTGTTTCTTTTAATACCATAGTAACAAAGTAAAATGTTTGCAGTCCACTGGCTTCATATGTAGTTGTAAATGAAAAAGGGTAATAATATGCTATGCACCTACGACATGCCTGGCAGGTATATACCTGGTTTTTGGCTTTACCTTAAATGCAAAGAAGTGGTCTGTGTATTTCTCACCAAAGACAAATGAAGCACCAGCATCAGTGTATGCCAAGAATGTCTGAGTTGAAGAAAGGAAAAAAGATCATTACGACCACGGAAGCAGCAGTTACAATTCACAGGCCCTACTAGGCTTTGCAAAGGGTGGAGACCCAGCAAACTTGTTGGATAGACTTGGAAAGTTAACTTTCTCGGCTTTCCCCTACTCCTGGAAGGCATAAAAGTGTATTCTTGAACAATCCCTGCATACAGGTTCTCTGTCATTTCTGACATTCAGTCTGACTCCAGAATGTTCAAGAAAGAGCCAGGTGTGGTTAATTGCTCCAGCAAGTCACAAATGGCACATAGGTGGCACTAGTTACCACTAGATACAAAGAAAGCTTGTTTCTTCTCTACCTGTAGAATCATTTTAAAAGTGTGACACCCTCTGGCAGAATAAAGGGGGTAATCAGGATAGGGTGTGAAGTAGTGGATGACATGGGTAAGGGACAACCATAGTATTAATAAACTAGATGGATTAACATACTTGCATAAACAAAATTATTTGTCTAACTCATGCTACAGAATTAAAATTTGGGTCAACTAAGGCAGACAAACCTATTTCTGACACGTCTTGAGCGTTATATCCAAATGTTAAAACCGTTATAAAAGCAAGGTTTTCATTTGAACCCAACTTACCTGAACTTGTTTGCCCAACCAATTAAAGGCCATAAACCCTGGCTCAGTTCTTAGTATTAGGAGCCCAAGAAGAAACTGTAACCCAAGTCCCCAAAAGACAGGCCTCCAGTAAACCTGTACAGAAGGAGAAAGAGATATATCTTATTAAAAAATGAATGCTAAACTCAGCAACAAGGTCCAAAAGATCACTATTTTCTTAGAAGCTTCTGCTGTACGGCCTGTGACCTGCCTTCCGTGGGAGGCCAAGGCGGCCATGAGCAGAGAACCCCTTGACAGAATCACACTCAAACATCTCAGGGTTGCATTTCCTCTTGTTAATCCAGAGTTCGAAAACTTCAGTCCTGGGCGAGTACGTAACCATTATGTCATGATAAAAAAAAACACACAAAAAAACAGCCCCAAGAGTGAGCTTAGAAGGGCCATTACAGGAGGAAGGACCTGGCCTTTCTAGCTGTGCTCGTCACATTAGATACGTGCCATTATTTCCTTTACCTAGAAAATGGAAAGGCAGAACATGACTTCTCTGTGTGCCCAAGGTTTGTTGATCTGATGATTTGTAAGTAAATTAAGTGAAATTCCACTATGTTGAGGGGCTCTCATTTCACTGTAAAAGGCACCGATTAACTCTAATGCAGAACCAGAGAGTATAGCAGTAATGGATAATCATCTGCTTTCAGTTTTGGTGCAGAGATGAGTGGCCTGCAAAGAACTATGGGATTGGAGACATAGAACACAGTGGAGACGTTCACCAGAACAGGGCAAAGAACTGAGATCATATTAGGTGACTTTTTTATTCCTTGAGTCACCCTTTCACTCAGTAAGTCTTCCAGAGTTTGCTGCGTCAGTCATGTACGTGAGCTTCAATGTCTCAGAATTCTTGCCCATTTAATGGGTTACAGGCTGACAGAATAAGGATGAGAATTGAATTCCGTGTGAACAAAACTGTTTAAGAACAAAGTTTTGGAGTGAAACAGCCTAAATTGCAAATGGAAATTTGATAAACTGTGGAATCCAATGGTAGAATATTAGATTATTTGCTGGTCTGCGGAAATCTGGATCAAAATGGATGAGTTTTCTTTGTATTTTGTATTTGTGTTTCACAGAGGGAGGTGGGGTACTTGAGCAGCAATTGAACTTGACAGGAGAGACCAGCTCACTGGTTGTATAACCAGAAAATCACTGAGAGTGAAAAATGAGAGAGTAACTGTACAATGAAAGTTCTGGAAGAAAGGTACCCTAGGCACCTAAAATATCATAGCAAATTGAGACAAATATTGAGTAACAGTTAAATTGTCCCACGCTCATTAATTTGAGCAATTTACACATTCATTTTGAGCATTAATTTGAGAAAAAAGGGGGAACCACCCCAAAAGATCCATTTTGTACTTACTTTGGTTGGGTATTTTGAAAACAGAAATAGCAGGACAATGTACATGATGAGCCCACCGAAGGACACCAGCTGCTGTTGGCCCAGTTTGGCGGTGTCAAGGAACAGCCAGAGGATAACCCCCAGGATCAGTGAACTCCAAATGACCCTATGAGAACCGGGGAAAGAAGGCTTTGCATTATTTGCTCTGCCAACTTGAAAATCTCAATCAGGCTTAAACGACCAAACAAAAAAATATTAACAATAGTAACAAACCCTGGCACCAGGAAGTTGTGCTTCTACAAATCGCAACAGATCCTCTTTGGTTGCAGCTATAAAGGCAGACAGCCAAAAAATTAAGCAATGTGTCTCCCTCACTTCACAACTCTTGGGCTCTTTGCTGGTTCAAGGATGTATGAAGAAGTCAGAGAGGAAAATGGATATTTGGAGGGAGCAGTCTTGTTATTTCTTTGAGGGGTCTACGGGGAGGCCTCACCTCTGTTTTGGGAGATGGGTGAGGTGTTACTTTTTAAGGGAGAACTTGAGATGTGTTCTCTGCAGTTGAGGCAACTTAGCCGAGCCTCAGAGAGCTAAGTTGGACTTGAGGCTGGGTTCTGACTCCCTGGGGAACCTGGCAGGTATGACAAGTCTCATTCATGGCTTGGAGGCTAGAGGCAGAAAGGGTGCTTTGTTGATATTGCACAATCCTGGTTTATTAGGCCAAGGATGTGTGAAGTTTCCAAGTAGATCCCATGAGGGCCATGCTGGGGAAAACCAGCCCTGGATTCTACTCAGGAGGGCCATCTGGAAGGAGAGGAGGTCCCACAGACAGAGACGGAGGGGAGAGCTCGGGGTGGTCCCCTGCAGGACACAAGGTCCTACAGGAAAAAGTTGGCTTCTTCCTCCCAGGTTCCTCCTCCCAAGGAGGCCTGAGCAGGAAGCCACCTTCCCAAGTAGAATGGTCTGTTTCGGACATTTTATCATTTAGCAGCACTTGAAATTAGGGTAGTTTATAAGGCCGTTTGAACCCATCTTTAATGAGTCATTGCCTTAGCTAAGCCTTGCCTTCCTGTTTGTAAAATGAAGATATTTTAACATGTCATCCCTGAGGTTCTTTCTAGCTGCAATATCGCATAAATGAGGAAGCAATTTCAGACCAAATTTTTGGAACAGCATTGGAAAAAACCTAGCGCCCCTCCCAACTGTAATGAGAGAACCAACTGTATTTACCACTTCAGCCAGAACCAATGGCTGTCCAGGAGTCTTCTGCCAGGAGACAGGAACGCATCAATTCGAGGTTCATATTTGGCCATAAAGTGATCCCAGATCACAAAGAAGATGACAGCCAGGGTGATCACGAAAAGAGGAAGGGCTCTGTGAAAATTCAGCACGCAGGCTGCAATCACCATAGCCAGGTAAGCTGTCCAGGACGCAAAGGCAGACAGAGAGCATCACCAACACCAGCAGGAGACCAGCCTCCAGCCCTGACCTGGCTCAGCCAAGGGCAGGTTCCGTGAACAAACCACTGAATAAAGGAGTGCTCTTGATATTGTTTTTTAAAAAAAATACTTTATTTATTTATTTTTTAGAGAGAAGAGAAGGGAGGGAGAAAGAGAAGGGGAGAAACATTGATCAGTTGCCTCTTGCATGCCCTCCTACCCAGGACCTGGGTCCGCAACCTGGGCACATGCCCTGACGGGGATGATGCCCAACCTGCTGAGCCACACTGGTCAGGGCGCTCTAATATTCTTGATGTGACTATTGGCGTCTCTGATTTTAAGTTCCTAACAGTCTCACCATGAATGCAAGGAGGACAGGGTGCTAGGTCTTTTTTTCTTATAGAATCTTCTGAGTTCTTGAATCTTGATGCTTGATCACTGGGCCCCTCCCTTAGTACTAACTACCTTTTTCTGGTATCTAGCCAGACTCAGCAGGTGAACGTCTAGCAGAGAAAGCCCTGGTGCTGAAGCAACCATTAGCAAAAAGGTATTGATTCTCCTGGTTTGCAGCTCAGATTTGGCCTTAGTTTGAGTAGCAAAATCTCTAAGTGCCGTATCAACCATCTCTAAAGGCCAAAGAATCTGTAAGGGAAAGTGGTGGGGGTGCTGACCGAGGTGGCTGCTTTTGAAGAGGAGATTCTAGGATAAGAACAACAAGGCTTTCCCATTAATGGTCAGCAAACACGGCTTTGTTTGTAAGACACATTTGGCCTGTCCTTTGTTTTTATAGGTAGCAAGTACAGCTGTATTTGTATATATGTATTTGTATTCTACAAATAAAGTCTAATGGGAACACAGTCATGCGTGTCCGTTCAGTTTTGTACCGTGGAGGCAGGACGTGTGGTTTTGATGCAAGCCCTGCAGTATACTCCTTGGACCAGTACAGAGAAAACTTATAGCCCTGTTCTTCCCTGTTTGGCTGTGTGAGCACCAGCAAAACCACTGCCTTTGATGGGGCAGAGTCTTGGGTTAATTTCTGTGGAATTGAGTGGTAGGGGTCATGTTTTACAGATAGGAGTATTCTTTAAAATGGGTGGATTCCTTTGCGTTGGAGAGAAAATAATGCTGCTCTTCTGTGTGCAGCTGACCCTTGAACAACACAGGTGTGAACTGTGTGGGTCCACTTACCTGTGGATTTTTAAAAATAAATACTATAAACGTAGATTCTCTTCTTTAAGATCTTAATAACATTTTCTTTGCTCTCGCTTACGTTATTGTAAGGATAAAATATATAATACAGAGAATATACAAATACGTGTTAATCAACTGTGTTATCGGCAAGGCTTCAGGTGAACAGTAGGCGGTTAGTAAAGTTCTGAGGGGAGTCAAATTATAACGGGTTTTTGACTGTATGTGGAGGTGAATGCAGAGTGTTGGTGCCCATAACCCTTGCATTGTTCAAGGGTGAACTGTAGACAGTACAGCTCTGCCTTCAGGCAAGAGGAGTGGAGTATACCTCCCTAAGCAACTCCCAGCATTGTATCTACATAAAGTACTTATCAATTGCTTATATTTCCTCCTGCAATTAGATTACCACATTGTGATTACTGTCGTGTTTTCCAGTTAACTGGATTTGCATTAACCAGCTTTCAAATCCACATCACAACAAAAAAGGTACAGAGTGGGTGACCAAAATTAGGGAGACAGGGAGATAATCTAGGTAGGTACTCCCAGGTTGGACCTGCAATTCAGGGCCTTCCTGATTTACTTCTCTGCCTCTCTGGATGATTCATGAGGTCCAGAGGAAGGGAATATTTCTTTTCCTTCCATAGAAAGCTCAGCATACTATTTGGGGGACCCTCGAAGAGAGACACTGGTACCCCATCCCTGTTTGTTATTTACCTGCTAATAAGATGCCCCAGGTGATGTGCCGAATGGTTCTTTTGTGTTTCTTACAAAAAGCACACACTGTAGCATACTTCCTTGCCAGATATCTGTAACAACACAAAAGCAAAATGTCAGGCAGAAGTAAATGCCAACAACATGAAACGAACTGGTATATTACGGCTAGATGAGGCTCTGTAAATAAAGCAAGCTAACGAACAAATTCATGAAGCATATATATCCTACAAAATGGAAATGGGAAACTCATTTCATTGTAGACTAAGCTCAGCCATGGCTTGGATCCACCTTTGAAGAATGGGTGTGCCAAGTGCTGAGAGATTACAGAGACACAAGAGGCCTCTTCCTGGAACTAGAGTGGGCAAGGTTGATGACTAACCAAAAGCTGAAAATAATACATAGGATGAGGATATTTCTCACTGGGCTCTGAGGGCCTCCATTAGCTTGTAAGCCAGAGTCATTAAATATTGATTAAAAAAAAAAATCCAATGGACTCTCATCCCTCTTGTTCTACAAAGTTTGAGTAAGGAGGTGGTTCCTGGTCTTTGCTCACCACAATTTTTATTGGGAAGCTGACAGACTTCACAGGGTGCTTGAAATGTAAAGTAGGATTTTGTGGATTTGAGAGTTTTAATGAGGAGGTTGTCATATAGCATCCTCAGAAAGTTCGAGAATTGTTGGTATGTCTGTTTCTGTTCACGGTTTTGTTACAGGTGGAGGGTAGTGTGTGAGTAATGTGTGCATGTGATCACTTCTTTGGGAAGATCGTGACCACCGGTGAGTGAGATTGGAGGGGCCACAGGGCCGCACCCACACCCACTGTCCTCTACTTCTCCTGGGGTGCTCCTGGTCCCTCCACACCTGTCCTGAAACCTGGCTTCCTTGCAGGTGCCTCTTTCCTCAATGCCACATCTAACAGAGGCCTCGCCTCCCACTTGAGGCCAGGTGGACGGAATTTACTTTCACATTTAACCATTGCTACTTCCAGGCCACTGGATAACATTTCAAGAACAACTACTTCTTGTCCATGTAAAAGATTCCCAAACTCTAGGACCTCAAAGGATTCAGCTCCCTGCTGGGACGGCCCTTCCCTGGCCAGTGCTTCCAGTTCCCTTCTTTCTGGCAGTCACGCCCGCATGTCCAAATCTCAGCTCCCTTCAAGTTTCAGGGCACAGCCCAAGTTCTTCCCTTCTACAAAGCCTTCTTGCATATCCTCAGACAGAGGTGTTCTTCTGCACTTTACTCCTATTGTCTTATTTTTATGGTTTTGTTATGAAGTGTTGAGCTGGCTGACTATAGAGTTCTGTGAGCCCTATATTGCCAGCACCTTGGATAGGCATTTGTTGAATTACTACATAAATGAAACAGGAGTGTATATTGCTTTTCTGGAACAGGATTTTATAGCTGTGGGTTGGGACCCATTAGTGGGATGTGAATGATAACCATCACTAAAAGAAATAGGGCTCGTCAGAGTAGGTCAGGTGTAGTGATGATAGGTATTATTTCATAAAACTTCTGTCATTATGTACGTGTGTGAATGTGTGCACTGAGAATTAGAAATGCTGTTCTAGAAGATGTTGAGGTAAAAGAAGTGTAGTAAAACTAAATTTTTATGGTCTAATTGAGGAGAATACATTATCCTCAGTTGTGGAGATAGTGTTAAAAAGTAGCAGGGGTGAAGGGCAATGTTTAATAGGGAACATCCATCTACTTCAGGCTGGATTTATCAGATTTTTTAATTGCAGGGCTTGTGTGTAGTCCATTAGAGCACCCTGACACTGTGTACAATAAAGTGGCTGGAAATGGATGCTTCTGCCATCTGGTTATCTAGGCTGAGCCACTTTCAGCTGCTCCGTGGCTGTTTTGTCCCATTAATGTTAGTGAAACCTGAGGACCTCTGACCACCCAGGGGACTCTCTAAGTCCCCGGGGTCAGAGATTCAGGAAGTGCAATGAAGGATGGAACTACGCTCAGGTTTCCGAGGCAGCAAATATTTCTTGATGGTCTCTATGTGACAAGATCTTCAATCCTAATTCTGACCAACTTCAGACACATTCTCTGATACATAAAAGCCAAGTTCCTCAGAGACTTAGGAATTTAAATTAAACTTAAATAGGAATTTAGAAAACTGACAAATATTTTAGTGCTGTGACAGAGTACCAGATGATCTTGGACTAGGAATCAGAAGCTGAAATTGTAAGTTAGCTTTGCTCCCCTCTAGTTGACTAACCTCAAGTAAAGTTATTTCTCTGAGCTTTATTTTCTTGATCCAATAAATAAATAAATTAATTAATAAAGATAATAAATTTTCTTCTCCTACCTCAAGGGGCGATAAAGACTTGGAATACCTTCAGGATACCTTATAGTAATAGCAAGTAGTTTCGGTTTTGAGAAACAAATTGCTTATTGATTGACATTGAGAAGATGAATTAACTACTTTTGTGTGGATTGGAGCAATTAGTTAGTAATTTACACCTGTAATTAAAAGAGTGTCCTGGGTATTGGTTTCCCAGGACATCAGCAGTTTGAATTTACTGTGTTGATTATCGTAGCGCTCCATTAATTTTTCTGAAAATGGTTGGGTGGGTAACGAGGGGAAAGAATGGGTGGTGGTGACAATCTCTAATGCATAACAATAGACGTTTAAAAATTAGGTGAGGATAAACAAAGAGCAAAACCATTTGTTTAGGAGGCAGGTGAGTTTACTTCCTTGTTTAAGCCTGTACCCTTTTGGATGCATCTCTTGATCGTCCTCCTCATCTTCTTCATTTCTTAGAGAATCCTGCTCCATAGTGACCTGCTCTTCGCCCTGAAAATCAAACATTGGGGGGGGGGGCAGAGACACAATGACAAGAATCCTGGGCATCATGGACCCTGCTCTCTTTTGCTTGGCAAACAACTTTTTATGAAGTTATAATAACAAAGTTATTATAAAGATAGCTCCTATTAAACATTTTCCCCCTTTTATTCTGTTATTTATTTTAAAGATGTTATTTGTTTATTTTTAAAGAGGGGAAAGGAGGGAGTAAGATGTGCGAGAGATACATCGATTGGTTGCCTCTTGCACGCCCCCAACTGGGGCCCTGGCCCACCACCCAGGCATGTGCTCTGACTGGAAATTGAATCAGTGACCTTTCGGTTCACGGGCCGGCACTCAATCCATCGAGCCACACCAGCCAGGGTGACATTTTCCTCCTCAACGCGCGCGCACACACACACACACACACACACACACACACACACACACAGACGCACGCACACGCATACGCACGTGCACACGCGCAATCCAGAATCACCCTTTTCTTTCCCTTTTCTTCCAAAGGAGCTGTTGATTTTTCCTTTTCTCCTTTTCTTTAGGGAACAGACTCATTCATATCTCTGCTTTTCGCTCTTGTGTCTACAGTAATCATTCAACCCCAGTTCTGTTTTCAGGAAAGTGCTAAATGAAGTTAATACTAGAGGCTGCACAAATCTTCCTTTATACTCAGCCAGCCCTGGTTTCCAAAGGATGGAGACCAAGGCTGGTTTTATGTTCCTGGCAGCCCAAGGCTTGGTCTGCAGGTGTGAACACTAGCTCAGCATCTTCAAGAGCTGATACACTTCTCCTTGGAAACTAGGCTCCTTCTATCAGTTGGGCCAAAGGGAAAAATTTCCCTTCCTCAGCTAGACCTTGCTCTAGTTAATGTGTGAAGTACATATATACCTGGGTCACCTTTTCATGGATAATCTTTCTAGGTACCATTTGAGCTCCTTAATATCCATAACCTGTCCTTTTCTTGGGATGGTGCAGAGAATCTCCTATCTCCCTCCTTTCTGCAATAATGTCTAAAATGCTATCATAAACGATGGTGAGGGAAAGTGGGAAACATGCAGGTGTGGAGTGGTTTTGAATGTGCTCTAAGAGGTATTAGGCCAAATCTCAGCTTCTGTTTTCTGTCATATCCCTTGTGGCCATAGGTTCTCTTTACTTTAACACAACTCATAGAAATAAGTCATTAGCATGTCTTTGAGCTGAAAGGATCCGCAAAGATCATGGAGTTGTTCGATGCCGAACTGCCCTGTACTTCTGACTCAGAGTACCTTCCTTTTCTGGGCTGGACCCCAGGAACTAGGAAAGCGAGAGGATAATTGCAGGAAAGACCAGCTAAGTCCAAGCTACAGGTGCTGGGGACAGAAGCAGAGATGACTCTTACTTGTTTTTTCCCCATCCAACCCTCAGCTTGGCCAATATTAAAGTTTGATAAATATTCAATTTAAATGATTATAATTATTTTTTACAGTGAAATTGCCCCAAGTTACCTTCTGTCTATGGAATGCCAAGCATCACTATCGTTCTCTTCTCCCCCACCCCTAACTTTCCCATCTTTAAAGCAAAATAACACAAAATAACAACACCAACAACAAAATCTTCTTGATCCCGCAGTCACGGAACATCTACCTTCCTTTCCTTCACAGCTGAACCACCTGAAAGAGTCGCCTTTCCTTTTAGTGACCACTCCCTCACACCCTGCCTGCTCAGCCATCTGTGAACCAGCTTGTATGGAGACGGCTTCTGCCAAGGTCCCTCAAGGACCGTTCTTCCTACATCCCATAGCTACTTTTCAGTCTTCACATTCCTGTTTATAACAGGAAAGTGTCTAATTTTTTTTATTCTGCTATATTTTGTGAAACAATTTTTTAAAAGACTTTTTAGAGCAGTTATAGGTTGACAGTAAAATAGAGGGGAAGGTGCAGAGATTTCCCATATGTCCCCTGCCCCTTTCTCTCCATGGCCTCCCCCATTATTGACTTCTCTCACCCGAGTGGTGCATTTGTTATAATCAATAAACCTCCAAAGTCCATAATTTACATTAGGGTTCACTCTTGGTGTTGACAGAGAAAAATTCTGAGATGCCCTAAATTAAATTATAATAGGCTGGACAGCGGGAAGAAGAGACAAGAAGTTGAACAGTTAACAGTCAAGGGCAGAAATCAACAGAAGACAGTTCACATTCCTGAATGTGTGTTGAAACTTTGAATCAACTTCCAGGCAGCTATTTCAGCTCTTATCTGAAGAGCTATTGCTGACTACCAGACACTACCGCATCTCCCCTACTCATGAACTTTCTGGACCGTTGCCCACAATCAATCCAGCAGCAGCAAACCCTTCTTCCTTATGGACTACGCACCTATTCCAGAATTTTCTTTGCTTCACCTTCTCCTCTCCGCTCATCTATAGCCAATGTAAATTCTTTTAAAACAGCTTCCATCTTTCTTCCTCAAATTCACTGTATAAAAGAGCCCCCTCAGCCTCAGGATGGTGGTCCTGTTGTCTTGTCCATCTAGCTCTGCTGTTGCTGGTTTGGTCTGCATGCCCCTGAACCGGGTCTTTTGGGCTAGCACGTGGCTCAATAAACCACTTCTTTTAGAAAAATCTTCTGGCAGTGAAGGTTTTTGCTTAACAGTGTTTTATACTCTGTGGGTTTGGACAAGTGTTTAATAACATGTATCCACCATTATAGTATCATTCAGAGTGGTGTTACTGCCTTAAAAATCCTCTGTGCCCAGTCCTCCTCCCTCCCCTCTTGGCAACCACTGATCTTTTTACTGCCTCCACAGTTTCCCTTTTCCAGAATGACATGTAGTTGGAGTCATACACTACAAAGCCATTTGAATTGGCCTCTTTCATTCAGTAATATGCATTTAATATTCCCCATGTCTTTCCATGACTTGACAACTCATTTGCTTTTAGCGCTGAAGAATATTCCATTGTCTGGGTGGACCATAGTCCATTGAACCATTCACTTACTGAAAAACATATTGGTTGCTGCCAAGTTTTGGTGATTATGAATAAAGCTACCATAAACATCCATATGCAGGTTTTGTGTGGACAGAAGTCTTGTTTTCTCTTTTGTTGTTGAATAATATTTAGTGAAATGAATACTTTTTACAATATAGTAAATGAAATAGATATGAATAGCATGATCCCAATCCAGGTAACACATGCATGTGGATGTAAACTTGCATTAAAAGGCTTTATTACAAGATATTAGGCACTGATTTTCTCTGAAATTACAGGTTCCTTTTTTGTCTTCTGAATTTTGCTGCAATAATTTTCCAGAATTGTTTTTCTCCTTCAAACAAGTTACTCTTTTTATCACAAGAATGACTCTCCCCTCAATAAATGGGCACCCAGAATTTCTAAATAAATAAAATCAAAAGAAAGATGGCTGATGTGGAGAATTTGCTCACTTTTTAACAGCAGAAGGCTTTCTTCCAATGAGATCCTACCAAGAATTCAATATATAACAGAAATAAAAGTGGCACTGTGATGGAGCGCTTTAGCCTGTCGTGTGACTTAGGTGTCACAGGGGAGCTCTCGGGCCTGACGGACACTGTTTTAGAAGCATATCTTAGAACCTTTCTTGTCTGCCTCATTTACCTTTAAATTGAAAAGCTCTTGGTTAAGCCAGTGCTTTCTGCACAGGTGTGGAGCTTGCAATGTGCACAGTGACATGTCAGAGAACCCTGGGTACTTTCCCCATCAAAGAACTCATTCGAAGGACAGGTGTATAAACACAAAACCATTGTCTGGGCAAGTATGTTTTCTTCATGACTCTGCCTTACACAGTCTAATTGCCATTTAACTCATCCTTCTGAGTGCTAGCTGAGCACCTTGCTTTCTGTCCCCATAGCTCTCAAGTGCCTGTTGCACAGTGGTTACCATGGTAATAAACTCACTCAATGATCTCTGGACGTACCTGTTTGGCGTTGACATGTTCTCTGTTTTGCACAACTCTGTTTCTTAAAGGGTCGTTTCCTGATGTGTTCTGGTTTTCATGAATGTCTTCTTCATTCTAGAAACAAAGTACAGGTTGGAGAAATCAAATCTCAGAGCCAAAAAATAAATTTTCTTTCAGAATGGTGCCTAGAAGACTTTTTTACTTTTTATTAAATTTATTGGGATGACATTGGTTAATAAGATTATTTAGGTTTCAAGTGTATGTTTCTATGATACTTGATCTGTATATTGCGTTGTGTGCCCATCACTCAAAGTCAAATCATCTTCCATTTCCATTTATTTGACCCCCTTTACCCTATACTACACTCCCCCACACCCCTTCTCTCTGGTAACCACCATACTGTTGTCTGTGTCTATGAGTTGTTGTTTGTTTGTTCATTTGTTGCTTTCAGTTTTATATCCCACATATGAGTGAAATCATATGGTTCTTAACTTTTTCTGTCTGACGTAGTTCTGTTAGCATACTAATCTCAAGGTTCATCCATGTTTCTGCAGGTGGCAGTATTTCATCTTTCCTTATGGCTGAGTAGCATTCCGTTGTAAGTATATAACACATCTTCTTTATCCAATCATCTACTGAAGGACATTTTTGTTATTTCCATGTCTTGACCACTGTGAATAGTGCTGCAATAAACATAGGGGCGCATATGTCTTTGCAAATATTTTTAAATTTTTCAGGTAGATACCCAGAAAAGGGTTGGATGGGTAATATGGTAACTCTATTTTTAATTTTTTGAGGAACCTTCCTACTGTTTTCATACTGGCTCTACAAGTTTACATTTCCCCAAGCAGTGAATGAGGGTTCCTTTTTCTCCACAACCTCTCCAGCACTTGTTATTATTTGTCCTGTTGATAATAGCCATTCTAACAGTTGTGAGGTGGTATTTCATTGTAGTTTTGATTTACATTTCCCTAATAGCTAGTGAAGTTGAACATCTTTTCATATATCTGTTGATCACTTGTATGTCTTCTTGGGAGAAGTGTCTGTTCAGGTCCTCTGACCATTTCTTAACTAGATGTTTGTTTGGTGTTGAGTTGTATGAGTTTGTAATATGTTTTAGATATTAACCCCTTGTTGGAGCTGTTGTTTGAATCTTCTCTCATTTGGTTTTTGCCTTTTTGTTTTGTTGGCAGTTTGTTTTGTTGTGCAAAAACTTTATATTTTCATATAGTTCCATTCATTTACTTTTGCTTTTACTTCCCCTGCCTTTGGGGTCAAATTCATAAAGTGTTCTCTAAGACAAAGGTCCATAAATTTAGTGCCTATGTTTTCTTCTATGTAATTTATTGTTTCAGGTCTTATATTTAGGTCTTTAACCATTTTGAGTTAGTTTTTGTATATGGGGACAAACAGCAGTCCAGGGATAAGGTGACAAAGATGAGGTATTTAAACAAATCAGCTGATTGAAGAAAGAACCAATAAATCTTGGCTCATAAAAAAACAAAGATTTTTTTTCTTCTGATAGAAAAGATTGGTGTGGTCCAACTTGAGGAAGAGGGAAAGGAAGACAGTTGTCCTTGCTGGGCCATATAATTTTCAAATAAGCAGAGCTGAGGCTAAGGGCGAAGATTTCCAGTCTCCTTTCTATCACATCACACAGACTTTCAACTTATATAATAAAACAAACTATAGGAAGCCATAGGCCAGGTCATTTTATTCATAGATGTTGGATTTATGAGATGTTAAAATGTGTCTTGCTTGGTTTAAAGCAATCTCTGGTAGTAATGAGAATAAGAAAACATCTTTTTTTGGTGTGTGAGACACTCTTGATTTTACTTTAGGGAACTGAGCATGATTTGCTCTTGGAGGGGTCTCCTGACCTCTTTGCGCTGTTTCCAGATCTGGCTTATTTCTCTTTTTTCTTTTTTTAGGGAGTCCAATTTTTGCCTCACCTCATCCCAACTTGCCTTTTTATATGGTACTTCATTCCAATAAGGCAACTGATAGATAAACAGTGTCTTGTGGTTCCCTATACCTTTTTAGGAAATATCCCCTCTTAGCACTGTTGGTTGTGACCTTGTCTTTGAAAAAAGGACAAATGCATGACTTTGATTTTTAGCTTTGATTCTTTGGCTGGTCCCAAGGATCTAGAAAAAATTTGCAATTCCACTTTTGTTGCATTTTCCATTTATTGAAACCCAAGTGTATATAAACGTGAATAAAATCTAACTTCCAGTACACACATGTCTTAAGCATAAGTCTTTTGCCAAAATGCCCTTTTGTTACAGTTGTTTATGTCTTACTTGAGTATAATTCCTTGTGGTTAGCAGACACTAACAATTATTTGTTGAATTAATGAACCACAGTGATTTTCATGTTGCAGTAACTGGTACATCAGTGTAGTACCTCTGGGTAGTTCCTATTAGGTCTGGTAGGTGGGGGGACAATATATATATAGCAGAAAGATGACACAGTGTTGTTAATTGCTGAAGCTGGCTGATGGGTACTCAGGGACTCATTGTACTATTCTTACTCTCATGGACGCTGACAATTTCTTTTATAAAACGTTAAAATCCAGCAGTTGAGGGAAAAATGGGACACAGGTAACCGAAAGGGCTGGTCCTCAGGGATGACCAGTTACAATTATGACACTGGGGAGATCACATCTTTGTAAGCCTCAGTCTACCCGTGTACATAGCACAGTTGCTGTTTTTATGGTTCCTTTTAGCATCCTGACACTTTCCAGTTCTATGAGAAGCTTCAGCTTCTTGATGCTGATTATTCCTGCCACCTGGTGGCAGAATTGGAAGCTTCCTTATAGAACATAAGGATGGAGCCTGGCTTTTTACAGCTAAACAAAGAAGAAAGGGTGTGTGTGGGTGTATGTATGGGGTGGTGGTGGGGAGCAGAGTGGGCAAGAATGATGACAAAGGTGCTTCTGAATGTATTTTGCAACATGTAATGGGATTGTTTTACCTCAGAAGAGTACACAACTTGGCTTTTTAACATTTTCAGGAAGAACAAAGCCTCCTATTTGGGATTTCCAACAGAAATAATGGGGGTGTGGTGTGGGTGTTGACTGGTGCTTGAAAAATGACTCTTAAGACACCTGCTTCTCTGCTTCCTTTCAAATGGGAGTCAGTAGGTCTGTAATAGGCTGCCCATAATTACTTCTTAGCTCATTGTATTTTCCCGGTCTATTTAGCATTTCAGATTACTAGATACCTTAGTACTTCACTCAACTCCTACAATTGTGACTGTGTTTTAAGTGTAAGCCTGTCACTCCATGGAAAGAGTAACAACACTGTGGGTGTTGTGTACGGATATTTCTAAACAGTTGACAGCATGCCACTTTTAATTTCTCAAATAAACGTTAGTTGCCGGAGTCCTGAGGGTGGAGATCCTGCAGAGAGCCTCCCCCACGAAGGGCAGGCCCTTCAGCCAGGAGTACCTCATGCCTGGGGTTTCTCTTTGATGTTGCACTTTCCACGCTGCTCAAGCAACTGCAGATCCACAGTAGGTGTTACAGGGAGTACAGACGGACAGAGACCCCTTTTTTATTTAGATTTCTTCTTTTCATTCAGTTTCTAAACCATATTATAATTTCTAGAATATAGGAAATTACTGAAATCACTCCTCCCCCTCCATCTATGTGTGATGTCTTCTTCTGCAGAATTTTAGCTGATGACATGGCCACCCAGGATAATGGAGACATTTCCTAGATTCCCATTTCACTAGATTCTGGCCGATGAAATGTGAATAGAAGTGGTGCCCTGTGTGGGGTGGCTTGGGGAGGCTCCATGAGAGATGACTGGCAAGTACTCTTTATCTCTTTGATTTTTATTTCTGTCCTGCTGCCTGGTGTGTGGATGGTTCCACCCAGACCGAAAACACAAGGGCCCCATCCCAGTGATATGAGAGTAGTGAGCTGGGGCAGGGGGACCTGGGTCCCCAGCAGCCTTGGGAAATGCGCCCACTCCATCTCGGTACTACCCACTTCCTGAATTTTAGCTGCAGGAAACAAACCTCTCTTATCACTTTTGGAATTTGCTTTTATTTGTACCTGGACTGGTGTATACTCACTGCATTAAAGCCTTTAAAAGTTTTGTATTTGATCCTAAGAGGCCAGTGAGTTGGGTACTGTGATCTCTCTTTTTACAGACCAAGAAACTAAGGCAAAAATAAGTGAATTACTTGACTCAGGCTGCACAACCAGAAATACCTGAGATGGGATCTGAGCTCAGACTGTTCAACCTTAGGCCTTATCTTGCCATGCCCGTAGAGTTTGGCCCTTGGGCCAAGGCCCTTTGGTTTTGAGGATATCTAAAGACATAGTATACCTACAGATTAAATACCCTTTTGATTATGAAAGCCTGATTTGAATTCTAGATGTACAAGACAAGAGCAAAAATGATAGAGGAGGTGCAAGAGTCCAGAGATGCTTGTGGCCACTTTTGGGCAGTATTTAGGCTCTGGAGGTCATTTCTCAAGCCAGAAGTTTTCCATACTCACCCTACAGACTGATTTTAAGTAGACTCTATTTTTAAACATGAGTGGGCACTCTGGCATTTGTGGACATGCCAAGTCTCTGTGATGAGTTTGACATTCTTTTTTCTCCTGACCATGTGTGCTACACTTGTTCAGTCCCTTCCTACCATTGTGGCCCTGATTTCACAGCACTCCTCTTTCTCAATTGTTGTGGCAGGATTTCTCTGCGGCAGGCTCAGCATCACTGTGACAGGAGAGTCTTACTTCCACCTTTTCTATAGAAAGTGCTGTGGCCTGGCGTTGCTCTGAGTGTCTGAATGGCCTTGCTGAGGGGACACAGCCAGGCTTGAGGACTGGGGCAAGAATGGCAACCTCCTCCCCAGGGAGATTTCCTTCTTGATCATTGGTGGGACGTAGATCATGTACGTTTATGGAAGATAGAAATGGCCCAGCAGGCCAATGTGATGTGGGTATGAAGCCTGAGGAGTTACTATCAGATTTTGAACTAGTTTTAGCACTCAAGACTTCACAGTAAGTTCTGTGAGGTATATGATAATATATGTTGGCTGAAAGGTTTTATACAATCAAAACAGATTACACTGGTGGTCAAAATTGCCTATTATATT